TTTTGGCTCCTACTGCAGTGACTGAACGCTAAGAAGTTTTCATCATCATCGCTACTAACTAAATTTACAACATCCCGAGAGCCATGGGAAGCATCTTTCCCACATGCTGGCAGCTCGGCTCTACTACTACTGTTATTACATCCTAAACTAACTACAACATCAGGTTTTGCCTCCAGAACTACTGCTGCATCACCATCAATACCTGCTTTAAATCCCTGATCAAAGTTTCCAACTTTACATGAATCAGTTTGACCCGGGTTACCAAATCCCTCGACCACATTCTCGAGTTTTTCACTCATCAAGGAGTCACCGGGATTTCTCATAATGGTGCCGGTTCCACAATGGAGACCATGGCAGTGGCCCGAGGATCCTTTAGAATGATTGTCTCCACAGAAAGTTTCTGCCTTTAGGGGCTTCTCTTCGTCGAGAAATTCATCCCTTACAGTATTTTGTACAGCTACACTCTTATCTTCGCTCAAATGGATAGGGTCATAGCGAGCGGGTTGGGAACTCCCTTTCTCAAGCAGCAACGATCCAGCTACAGTCGCCAATAAGTCGAACGCACCCATTCTATCGTCATCTCCATTGTTCTTCTTGAAGCAGCGCTTCTTCTGAAGAGAGGTGAACAATGAATCATCCATCCAACAAACAATGGCAAATTGAAGGCGAAATATGAGAAAGATCAAAGCTTTTACCCGAGCAGATCTGCGTGCTCGGGCATTCGCAGGCAACTGGTAGCCATTGTCTCCAAATTCTAACCTCTTATGCGATAGATGCATACCACCGATATTGCCAACTCCAATGAAGCAGTCGATCCGATTACTGTACCTATAAATCCAGGAGTGAATTACATGAAAACGTTAAACCAAATTCACAACAATAAAAACTCTGAACCACCCAAGAACTACAGGACTGAGAATTTCGAATAGCAGATCCGTAAGATCTCTCACATTTAGAAGCAAGCAAGCAAAAGGCAGCCAACGAAGGAACACGAAGATGAACATAAAAAGGGGACGAATCTCCACCATTTCTCATATGTTATCTATGTATGCTCGAATGCATTATGTTTTTATCCCGAATCAGATATAAAAAGAAGTTTCAAGCAACCTCCCTCCAGGCCACAGAAATTTAGCTTAAACCACAGTAAAACCCTAATGAATAGACGACCAGAAAATCGAGAGCCCAAAACGTTTTCCTGACAATTTGGTCACAGGAAAATCCCAAAAACCAGACAGAGATGTAAATCAGATTGAGCTCTAGACAAAAAGCATCGGTCTAGGGACCAAAGGAAATCGCAGGAAAACAGATCACGCAGTTCAAACCCTCAGGTCGGACTTCATCGAAAACGGAATTGTGGTTATATAGCAAGAAACCCACAAAATCGAGGAAAAATGGACGAGACTCAAAAGATTAAGCAAACCCGTTTCAGGTGCAGGCACAAAAAAGCATGAAAAGGTTAATATCTTTTGAAATTTTACGACCGATTTTTTCCTGAAATAGAATTTTTTTTCGTGAATTTTCCTACAGTTTCTCGGCAACCAAACAAAACAGGGACTTTCGCCGAATCCGAGAGAACAAACCTTGAAAAGCTCCAATTTTTCTCACCTTTGATACCCCAATCTTCAAATTCCAGACGATTACTCGAAAAAAAAGTTAGAAACTTCGGTGGATTCCCCGGCAAATGCGAGATCGGAAAAAAGAAAGCAAATTCGCGGAGAGAAACAAAGAAATCTGAATTCTCCGCCGCACTCACACCAAACTTTTATCCATTTGTTCCTCTAACCCATGTTTTCCCGAGAAAGTGACGGAAAATTTTCATTTGTTTCAATTCAAACGCTACCCATACGAATTCTCTCTCACCGGAAGCAAAATCACGCGCTCTCTCTCTCTCTCTCACGCAAACAAAAACCCTTTGAAAAACATCCGTGCCTCCCTTTTGCTTAAACCCCCCATTGCCCCTTATACCATTGGCTCCATCCACCGGATATACCGGTATTACTTTTCTGTTAACCGGTGGAACCATTCACGTTCTTCGCCCACGATCGCCTCTCCGGCCCTTACATATCGCCACGTGTCACATATGTGCCATCACATGGCTCCGCTCGTCACTAGCAAGTTTTTCGTTTTGTTTGAATTTTTCATATACATATATATACACACACGTATGTATATATATATATTGAAATTCTAACAGTGACATTAAGATATAAATTGAGGGCTGAAAATCTATATATATTAATAAAGAAGTTTAAAGGATTCTGGTGAAGACACATCATCATCCTATGTGGAAGTTTCTTAAATTTTGATTGGTTATGAACAAATTATGATAGAATTAAATGAAAACATTTTAATATTAAACTATGAAAATGATTAGTAATTTTAAAATATAAAATTGATTTGTCTAAAATAAATAATTAAACATTAAATAAAAACTTTTAAAAATAGATGAATGATAAGAAAAATTAATAAAATATGATTATTTTTAATAAAATGTATTGTTATATTAAATGATAGAAATAGATAAAATTTAAAATTATAAAAAATTTATAATTACATTATGATAATATGTAATTATTTTCCTTTATGATATTATGAAAACAAATAAATTTTAAATATGAATGTAATCAAATAAAAGTCTCACTAATATATAAAACTCAAATCAAAATAACTTTTTATATGATAAAAATGATTTTTTAATTATAGTAATCTATTGTTATTTTTTTTTATCAAGATAGCAATTAAATTGTAAATTAAAGTGTAATCAAATAAAATTCTCAATAATATATGAAACTAAAATCAAAATGGGTTTTTAAAGATTAAAAAACAAACTAATTATTCTAATTCTATATAGATAATGAATATTTCATTCACTTATATGAACATACGTTTTTTAATTTTTTTTATTAACTCTATCTAAATTATAATATTAATATTTTTATGCTGGATGTTCGGTATATGTAAACGTATCAATATGATATATTTTATTGTGTGTATATATATTTAATTAATATTATATATAGAAAACTCCATTATGGGCACTATGCGAAAATACCATTATTATAATTTATTGCATGCATTGCATGAATAAAACAAATTAATAACGGTCAAGATTTGTAAAAGTCGTATTTATTACCCCAGCCATATTTATCTTATTTGGTCTTTAATGAGATTGCTCAAACGTCGACCGATGAAATGAACGGTTTCATTCTTTCGCTTCTCATAAAAAAGGTACAGTTCACCACATTTCTCCGAAGAAGGTTTAGATTCTTCCTCGAAGGCAAATCTCCAAACCCTTTTCTCGCATCCCCCGAAAAAAGCTTATACCTCTTCATATAGCATGAATCTGCATATTCATTTGCCGGATCTTTCTGAAAAAAGCTCATGGATCTTCCTTAAGTAACAATCCGCCATGCCCCGCCACCACCACCACCGTCATCGCCAAGGTCACTGGCGGTAAGCAACAAGACGCCACCACCTCTACCTTTGCGTGCTGACTTCTCTCACCGGGCAAAGACGGCGAAGTATTGGATTGTGATAATGACCGAATTCTCTTCGGAAATTTGCCCGATGACCTTGAGATCATACGGCGATATCTCCTCAAGTTTCTCAAGAGGGTAAAAAAATAAGTGTATCTATATATGATTATATATTCAAATATTGATTTATAGAGAGTAATATGTATTATGGAAATTGAAGAATTATATATATATATATTATATATATATATATATATATATATATATATACAGATGAGGATATTTTCGGTGATGGACGAGCCGGTATTAGATGCAATAAAAGACATGGATTCTTGCCAGCATCGGAGGGGATCTCCAACATGGATTCGAAGTGCCCGCGTTGGTTGGAAAACGTCCTTCGCAGGCGGATGCGATTCATCGGAGATGATTTTATGGTGATCGGAAAGAGAACTTTCGAAGTGTCCGCTCAATGAGTGTCTGAGGAACTCGGTGTACATGGATGGAGTTTTCACGACGGTGGACAGGACACCTCACGTGAGGGAGCATATGGTCTGCGTTTTCGAGAGCTACGCCGACGATGTTGCTTGGCGTAATTCTGACAGCCCGATGTTGTATAATTATCTAAGTCAAAAGACAAGTTGAATGCATTCGTTATATAATGCATACAATTCATATCCGTTATATTTATATATGTATGTACATGTATATTTATTTATTTTTGTTTTTGATTATTTAATTTAATAAATAATTATTCATTTATTTATTAATGATTTTATTTTAAATTATATATTGGGTTATGAAATGTATATTAGATAGGTAAATAGAATGAGCTTAATTAATTTTCTTTATTTAGTGATATAGAATATGTTATTAAAATTTTAAACAAAATATTTCAAAATAAAAAAAAAAACTAATTAATATAAAATTAAATAGTGTTTTAAATGGATAAATGATTAATCAAAAATAAAATAATAAGAGAAATTTAATGAAATACAATTATTTTTAATAAAATTTATTGTTATTTTAGATGTGATTTATTGATTTCTAATATAAGACTAGATAAACAAAAAAATATAATTATGAAAACATTGTGATAAAACTAAATGATAAGATTTTAAAATAAAATTAGAGAAAATAAAATGGGGAGTGGAAAATTTTGACGAATAATAACTTAGATTGGAATACACATCTAACTTCAATTGTTATTTTTCTTTCACATGCAGGTTGTTCTTTTGTTTAAATATCACCTTAGATGAGCTTTTGATGAAGATGCTATTCAAAATTACTTTGTCTACTACCGCTCCAAATGATTTTTTTTATTTTTTTTTATTTTGCAAATAGTTGTAAAGATTATAGACTTTGGCTATCCCAAAAACTCTCTTCTGAAATTTTTGAACTTTACATTATTCAAGAATATGACGATTTGCAAAGAGCGCCATCCAAAAAATTGTAAGAAAATGATTTATGCGAGTATATTTAAGCACGAGATTTCATTTTTATAAGAGTTAGATTAAATTAGTATGCATCCGAGTTATCACTTATTGGAAAGGAGAAAAGTGTCAAAGATAAATTTAGAATTTGTGATAAAAGAACGAAAAAATTTGTACCAATGTGTCAAATATGTCATGTCACTGAAAATCTATACTTTTTTTTTTCTTTCCTTTGCAAACTATACCTTTATATAAATTTTTGGTAAAAATATCTTTACTTTATTGTCTATTTTCAATATTGTCATTTATCGCTCCGAAAAATGTGTAGTATGAAAACATATTTTTTTGGAAACTGTGTTATCTAGGAGAATTGTTTTTCATCCGGGATAACTGTTTTTCATCCGGAAGAACTATTTTTAATCCGAAAAAATTATTTTTCATCCGGACAAAAAATAGTTCTCTGAGACAAAAAAAGACTCTCCCTGGACGAAAAACAACTCTTCCGGACAAAAAACAGTTCTCTCGGACAAAAAACACTCTACCAGACAAAAAACATCTCTCCCAGATGAAAAACAGCCCTCCGGACAGAAAAAAACTCTCCTAGACAAAAAACAGACTCTCACGGACAAAATACATCTCTCCCGGATAAAATACAGCTCTTCCGGACAAAAAACAGACTCTCCCGGATGAAAAACAGTATTCCCGGATGAAAAAACAGTTCTCTTGGATAACACATTTTTCAAAAAAAATCTGCTTTTAATGCTGCACATTTTTCAGGATGCTAAATGGCAGTATTGAAATTATATAATAAAGTAAGAGTATTTTTGTCAAAAAATTATAAAAAGATATAGTTTGCAAAGGAATGAAAAAAAAGTATAGATTTCTAATTATGTGACATATTTGTCACAGTTTACCAAATGCCCCTAAAAAAAACAACATAAAAACTTTATCATACGGATTGTGGCGCAACAACTTCATGTGTTTTAAGATATACAAGAGATCATGTGCCACTACGAAATTTAAATAAAATTATGGTATAAAGTTTTCACTCTTTTAAAAAAAAAATATAATTTCCAACATATACTATATATATATATATATATATGTGATGTGTCAAATTTTTAAATTCTTATTAATTTATTAAATTCTACATAATAAAAAATTGTCAATTATTATAATAATAAATATTTTACAATTTAAATTCTAAATGTAACGATGGTTTCTACACCATCATCATATATCCATTAGTAAGATATTATTAATTAAATCAATATATTTTAATTAGATATTTTTTAATTTATATATACATTACTACTGAACCAATATTTTTTTAAATCCCGCAATATTTAAAAATATCATTTTTATTTTTATTTTATAACTATATTTTTTTAGCAAAGACCAAAATAAAATAATGATGGGTATTAAGTACGACCAAAATAAATCATTAATATCAGTCTATGGAATAACTATTACATTCTTTCACTACTTTAATTTTTTATAAAAAATAATAATGATAATTTTATAATAATTATTAAACAAATAATATATAACATTTTTGTAAACAAAAAAATTTAACATATATATTTTTTCTATATTAAACAAATAATATATATTATTTATATAATATTTATATCTATAAATTTAATAAAAAAATATAAATAAAAATAGAACAATTCGTGCAACGCATAAAAAAATATATCTTTGGAGATTGAACGATCCACGCAGGTTATTTATATAATATTTATATAGAATATTCTGTACTAAATATATGTCTCTTCATAATATTGGTTTTGGTCAAATGAGAATATTTAATAACATAAAAAAAAATTCACAAAAATGGTTGCCAACTCAAGCGTGAGCCCATTAAACATCACATTTATTATTTACTCTCTTCCTCATTAATTCCATGAATCAATCCATACACTCAAAACGTCGTATTCTTATTTCTATATAGGTGGTGCAATCAGCTTGAACCAACTTTGACCTTTCGTTACAAGTACAAGACAAAGATGAAATTCGAAGAGAAGGAGATTAAAGAAGCCATTGCATAGATGGATGATGTCGGATCATTGGTCGTCGTACGACAAATGTTGCACATTGATAAGAGGTTTAAGCAGCCTCTTCTTCTCTTTAGGTGATAAGAGGTTTTCAAATTATTAGGGGAGTTCCAATCTAATTATTTATTCGGTGTCAGTTTGACAATGTGTGATATATATTACAGATTGAATTGGCAGAGAGACGTATTGAGGTGTGTCTGGATCATGTCGCTACTGTTGAGGTAGAGAAGTTTGTATATGATGTTTGGATGTTATATGGCATGAGTCATATCGATCCATACCATCACTATGATTGTCATTCCCTATGTAATATTTTTTTTTCCTTTTTTCAACCTCATAAACTGAGTTTATTAACTTTATTTCGTTTTAGAATGTGTTTATGTGTTTTTTCAGTTGATGAAACTACAAGGAGAGCTAGAAGATGAACAAGCACTGACTGAATAATGCTTTACATGTTTTGTTGTGTGATGCTCTTACTTTCTTATAATTCTCTTTTAAGGATTTTCAGTACTATATATATCGTAAAAGATTGTCATTTCCTTCTACATGATTTGTTCGTCTAATTTATGAGATTCAGATGTTACCTGTGGACATATTGATCTACATGGTTTGTTTGTTTTTTCTTCTAATCATGTTCTATCATATATTATCTCGCATATATATGATCATGCATAAAATGGTTTCTCGGTATAAGTTAGTAACAAGTCGTTCAGAGGCTACAACAACAACGAGCCCTTGATTTTGTCTTCGATCTCGCTTTATGATTTCAACTGCATACCTGATTTCGATGAAATCGAGGTCGACGATGAGCAACGGAACGACACGTTCATCTCAACGTCACCGTCAGACAGAGCTCAAATAAAAAGAAACATTAGAACAAAAAATGACACTCTAGAAGGGGTACTTATTATTAGTCACTAATAATCTCATTATTCTTTGTTCAATTAGTATAATTTTCTTATCATGCGTTATGTTCATCGTGTACTACGCCTTCGAGTCTTCGACGGCGTAAATTACAAGAAAGTGTCGATCGTGGTGTCAGAAACTAGGTCGCCCTCCAATGGCGACGAGGAAGCGGTGGGAGCTACGTGTAACAATGCACGGAAGTACAACGGCCTCTTCCAGTCTGAGGGTTATTGATTGATTTCAATACCTGAGAACGGAAGAATATCTAAAGCTAATAGTCCCAATGATTCGTTATAAAGTAAAAAAAAAAAGAAAAAAAGCTTTCACATTCTATCTTTTCTTTTTTAAAATTCATTTACGATTGACTGTGATATTGAATAGAGATTTTTGAATCAGATTTCATTGATTATTTTTTGGATTCACATGCAATTTACGTTAAAAATAGGAAATCATGGAAAGTAGATAAAAGAAATGAGTATGATGGTGAGAAAGCAAGAGGAAAGCCGTAAACCAAGACTATCTTCAACCGATGTAAGAGATTCTTCGTCTAAAAAAAGACAGTTGTGGATTTTGAGTTTCTTTAACCGAGGTTTGTCCAAAACTTATTTTGTTTCTGCAAACTGTTCTCAGGTAAATTTAAGGAGAAGATAACTCAAGCCATGGACAAAAATTGAACAGATTCATCAAAGTGTATCAGAAAAGTTGGTTAAATATCTAATGAAAATATATCTTCAACTGAGCCTCACATCGCGAAAAAGGGAAGGATCGAATACAATTTCAAAAATCAGTTTCTTACTGCCTAGCATTTTCTGGGTTTTGAATTCAATTATTTGATTGTATTTTCTGTTGTTATCAATTTAGATGGTTTTATATAGGTGGATGAACCGATTGTGATTTAGGATTTAAGACTTATTTGGATTTTATCTTTTATCTATTTTCGTGAGCTCAAAATTGGTATGTGAATTCATAGGCGATACTTTGAGTAAAATCCAAAAACATATCTCCAAATGCATAAACAGGAGAAATTTTTTCAACAAATTATATCAATGAGATAATTAGACTATATTTTAAAAATAAAAATTAAAAGAAAATATATTTTTTTCTTCATACTAAACAAATTCATCAATTATTATTTTCAAATGCGAAAATAAAAACGATAGCATATGATACATCTAAAACGGAAAATATTTTAATTAATATTTAATACTTATTTGTTACACTATGTTTAATATAATATCTACCTTTTGTTTTATAACATTGCAAAATTTGAAAACAAATAATATTTTATTTATTCAGATACATATATTACGATTATATTGATTAAGTATGCATTTGATTGCGAAAAATATATGAAATTATATTTACAAATTTATTCAACTAAGATTTCTATTATATAACAATAATGCAATAATATTTAAATTCTTTCATTAAATCAAATACTAAAAAGTTATACATTTAAAATTATTAAAAAAAAAAGAATAAACCGTGCATCGCACGGTTCTCTCCTAGTGTTTCAAAAAATAATTGAGAGGTGCAATCTAATGAGTTTGCATGCGTTACATTGGTATTTTTCGATCACGTTAATATAAATATAGTGATTAATTAATTTTTAATCAATAAATTAATTATATATAAACCAAATTTCACATCCACACGCGAGGGTATTTTCGTGACTCAAAATCTCTCGCTCCTAAGTGGATGAGAACGGTGTCCTTATTGGCTGCCGTCTGTTCATCTTCCAATGTAAGAAAAAACATACCGTTGAACTTTGACGGCGTGCGAAGAACCTTCGTCGAAAATAATGTCTTCGGGCGGCAGGAAACGTAACGGCGGTGGTCGGGCCCACAGACAGAACTTGGGCCCACATCATGATGATATAATCGGTGAAGTAATCCCGGTTTTGGTATACAAAAATAACTACAATAATTGTTTGTTTTTTTTTCATAGCTAATAAAAGTATAAATTTTAAAATTCGTCTATACATTATTATAATTTATATGCACATTGTGCCGTGCGTAATTGGCGCACTTCAATGATCATGCGTTACGTGTTTAATTAGTCCTACATATAACGTTATAAGTGAACTGATATATGTATACAGTACACAATATATATATATATACTTTTGATACACATATTGCCAAAATAGTATTTTATTACAAAACTACGAATATTCTAGTATTTTCTTTTATTTTTTTAAAATAAGTGATGCTTGCATAGCAGAAATCCAAAACCACCCACCTTCTAATCCACCCATTCTTCTTTTGTTTTTTTTTGGGGAAAGGATAAGATTAAATTTTCATTTATCCATTTAACGAACATGATTTATTTATTTTCTTTTTTTAGACAAATATTATTAAAAAAAAATAAAAGATTATAGTTTTAAACCGTGATGGGTGTAAAAAATAGTTTTCACATGAAAATCTGTTTTTATATGTCATAAACTCTACTCATAGATATGGAACCGAGCTTTATTTACAATGGATTACGTAACAAAGATTGAATATTTGTCAGATAAAGCCTGCCCACGTAAAACTCGTATAGTTGCATAACGTGTATCATAGAACCTAATTGCGCCACGTGAATAACGTTTTTATTTACTATGCATATATCAACATACTATATAGTGATCCGTTGTAATATTTAGAGGATCGTAATTCTTGACATTGTCAAACTTAAAAACAATGTTGATTCGGACCTAAATTCCGAAAAAAATAAAAATTGTAATTTCTTCCCCGAAATCAGTACCATAGGTGAAGATGTGAAATAAAATAATAATAATGATGATGATGATGATGATGATGATGATGATGATGATGATGATATCGCACGCTTCATGTTGAAACTACAAGTAATCAGTTCAGACCCACAGAGGGAGAAACTCAATGGAACTCATTGCTCAACCTCCATTAAACCCTTGCTTGTACATTTAACCGTACTGCCATGGATTAAACTCGACAGGTTTGGCATCGACCTCACCGCTCGACGTGTCTGAAATGGCTCGGTGTTCCATATACTTACCATTGAATCGATATATCTCGAGATCCCCCCATGGTGTAGATGTTGTCTCGTCTGTCAGATCGAACCATCTCGGGGTGAACCCATGCCCCTTTGCTTCTCGGGACCTCTTCTCCGCCCTCTGTTTCTCCTCCAGACTGAGAGGGGGAAAAAAACGACGATAGGGTTTTCAGTGGCTGATTCACGTACAACATGGTACCGACTATACAGAAGAAGATAATGAGGTACCTGTGCTTCTCGGCACCAGCTTTAGAAAGGTCACCCTGCTCAAGGGCATACCGATCAGGACGGAGACGTGAATCCGATGGCAAGAGTTTCTTAGGAGTGGTGTCGAAGCTGTTTATCTTGTGGGCGAAATGGGTATATTGATACTTGTCGTTTTTCGGAACATCAGCAACATGCCACACCTGAAAGAACCCATTAGAGTAAAAACATAAAATTATGCACTGATTTGCAAATTTCGTCACCAGATCGATCCCACATTGCAAAATACCGTCAAGAAAATCACCCGAAAGTGTAAAAGAGTGGAAAAGAACAAACACCTCTTTCAGCTCGGTTCCTGGAAGTGGTTCCCCTTCCATATCACAAGGTTGGTAGCTCATTTTCTCGTTCCATTTCCCGGTCATCAGTATTTTAGGTTCCTCATCTGCATTGTAAACATATCCGTCCACTTCATAGCGTCCAGCACTGAAATCGGAGAGAAGCAACATTGGTTAGGAGAAGAAGACGTTCGGGAAGTAGGAGTGAAGACAAAGAGTTCAAGGGGTAGTAAGCTGAAGGAAATATGTTAAATACCCGAACCAACCACATGGCTGGAAGTACAAGACAACTTTGTCGCCAGTTGTTAGATTTGTCATGATCATCTCGCCGGGTGAGTCAACCCAGGTCCGCCCAAATATTAGATTGTGAACTTTGGTGAGAGGTGGAACCAAATCCAGAACCACACCATCTCTTTTGAGTGTAACACGCGTTCTGCAAGCCAAGAGACTGGTTACTAACAAAAAAAAACAATTACGTAAAAAATGTTGTGGCGTTAATAGGGAAAAAATAGAAAGAAGATTGGTTTCGGTACTTCATTTTCATCTCAAATAGATATCTTAGCGGGAAAGTTGATAAACAACGAAAAAGATCATACTCAATAGAGAATGGTCAAAAGGAACTGCAGAAAAGCAAGATATATATTTCAATTATAAAGTTGGACGTATTTAAGTATAATCACCTCCCAACGGGATAAACATCGACAGAGTTCCCCAAAAATTTAGTTTTTAACTTTGACGTGCAATCGTAGGTAAAGTGCTCGTTTTCAGCATGACCAGCACTCATCGGGGGATGATGGCTAACCTGAAACGAAGCAAAAGAAAATCATAGTAAGCTAGTCATTTCCCAAAGACCAGTACAGTTGTTAGAAAACTGAAAAACTCAAAGCTGGACCTGCTCAGAAATAAATGAGATACCGCCATGGTTGACCATCTCATAAGTCTCCCCAAGAATAGGGTTGAAGGGCTTCCAAGTTCGTTGGTAGGCATAGTAAACAGATATAGCCCATGACGCTGAAGAATAATAAATCGCATTCAACACCAAGAAAATGGCTCTCACGCTTCAACAAGTCAGGAAGTCGATAGAAATCTGTTAGCATATACTTACAGGCGTATACTAGACGCAGGTATGGATCCTCGCACTCATCTGCTTGGTCCAACAAGTAGGAATACTCCATTAGCTGAAAAGAAACATTTGAAAATGTTATCCCGTGCAAGAAAGTATAGAAGTTAGACCCAAGCTTGGGTGGTCTAGTGGTGAGAGAACATGCAATGCATGCTCTCATCCTGGGTTCAAACCCAAGCGTGGGGAGGGACATTCACATAGGCTTCTCCGGTCCTCTGGGAGATGTAGTCGGGCCAAAGGCTCGGTGAACTTCCGGATTATCAAAAAAAAAGTATAGAAGTTAGACCACAAAGAAGTAGCACAAACCTCTGGCATCTTCTGGAGCATGGTCATAGGCTCAAATATAATAACAGGAAGAGTCACCATGGACGTGACATCTGAACCTATGTACTTCTGCATCATCTTCCAGTAACTATCTCTGTCCTGTTAAGAACAAAACATGTGGGTACGGTAGAGAGTTCTAATCAGACAAAAGCAGATAAAATCAGGCAAAACAGTAACCTGTAAACAGCGAAAATGGAATTTCAAAGATAAATACCTCCTGCCTCCACCTTCCTCTCTGGGCCTCCTCTTCAGCATCTTCCTGGCCGCCCTCTGGATTTATGACTTCAACACCTTCATAACCAAGCAGTCTGCAAGAAATAGTTGCAGTATTCAACACCATTATCCAAAATCCATGCATTTGAACGCGCGAGAAAAGGGTCGTAAAAGTATAAATAATTAAACGGCACACTTATACAATTCTAACCAGATTCAATTCTGCAGTCTTCAGAAGCATTGGAAAGCAAACGGCAACATAAACTAGCCCGGCTAAAACAAGATCAACACAATTCTACTCAGCAACTTGCCAGAAAACAATAGCAGACAACACAATAAGTCACTTCCCAGGAAGAGTCTATGGGTGGATTCTAATCATTCGTTACTGCACATGGATTGTCCAACGAGCAAAGCTTACAGCAGAACTTGTATTTGACATTAATACTATCGATTGATCACGGAATTTTGATTCTATATGCAACTAAAATGCCCTTCGAATCCAAATTCTACAGACAAACGACAAGGTTCAACTTCCGAAACACAACGTAGCATAAAAAAACTCGCATATCATCATCCGATTAATCGAGCATCGAGTAACAATCGGAACAACCTAAGACAAAAGCTTTACCTAGAGGGCTTATGGCAGAAAAGGTTCGTAAATCATACGAAATTAGAAACACGAGATCTCAAGAAACTGACCCGTTGACGGATCTCGACATGGCACTGCCGAACATGGAGAAGCCGGAAGTCATGGTGGAGAAAAACCCCTTGCTCTCGTTCTTCTTCGGACTCCCCATCCTCAATCTCTCCGAATCTTCTCCTTCTGTGACACCCTAATTCGAATATCTTTGGACACGATACCGAGTGAACTCGATCGAACGTCTTCCAAATTCAGAAATGAAGCTTCGGGCAAGAGAGAAAAAGAAGAAAGACTGAAAACTGGAAACTAGAAAGAGACACTGGTTCGATCTATAATTTTCTCAAATATCAAGGACTAAAGTTGCAAATTAATTAACCCGAATCTGTCATTTTAATAATCTAAACCGGGAATCTACGATTTTTGGTTAAACAAAACCGGAAATCTATTTTTGCCCATTTTCTATTAATCTTTAGATTTTTCTACCCGAACACGGTCCAAATCAAATACAGTGAGCTCGCTTGATTTTTTTTTCCACATAAGGAGTTATACAATTCTGGATCATGAATTGGGTATTTTTTTTTTAATCATGATAACTTTGTATTGATAATGATATAATAATCTCTTTCTCGGTACAAGTAACATTCGGCAGAACCAAAAATGCCCCTCGAACAAAAAAGTTATGAAACCGGTTCAATGAATGAGCTTATTCATTACTCCCCTGAACAAAAGATTTTCACCATGATTATGACAATAGAGTTACCTATAAACCAATAACCGACCGGTTTAGAGATATAAAACCGAACCGAACCGAACAGGGGAGAATCAGTCCTGGGTAGCTTGGTTTTGGTTGAGCTCGGCAAACCGCATGCCGACGCGCATGGTGTGCTTGAGGAACTTCTCGGCACACCTCATCACGCACGTCTCCTCCTGTTTCTGCAGCGTTTTCCGTGTGAAGTTGTCCACACAGTCGTTGAAACACCTCTCCACCAACGAATTGTACATCCTCAAACTGATCATACCATATCATATATAAAACAAATGATGCAACATCTGATTGTACAACAGTTCATATACATGTCGCAGTGAAATGGGCTTCCACCTTTGTTACAGCTAATTGAAAGACAAACATCATTTGGTTCTTTCCCTGTCGACAGTT